CGCATGGTCGTGGGATGTTCGTCAACTCGGATAAGTTATAGTTGTCTATGAATGTGTGATGTCGTATCTGTAATCTAGGATATTAATGGCGATAGACAACTGTCCCAGGACTGCACTTGTATGTCTCTTGTTATGGACACAGCGCTGGCCGTTCTGAACGTTGCATACGGCGCAACGTGAATACGATACGGGCATCAACTGATAGTAGAGGAGACGAAGAGCGGAGGGACCAACTGTATCACGGAAGTCGAGGTGAAGTCATCAAGCATCCCGGGTGACGGGGAAGTCGGGGGCTTTCCGTTGGCAAGGAACCGTATCCACAATCCGCAAGCCAAGGGCTTGAAGAGGCGCCCATGGCACATGGTCGCCGTCAGCGGCGCCGGTCGAGACCAGGAATAGTGGCCCTGGTATCCATAAGCGTGAGTAAACGGCAGCACAGAGGAAAGCTCTGATAGCAAGAGGCCAAGTGGTTAAAGACTCTGCCGTCGTTGGTCGATAAAGATATCGTAGCTACTCCGTAGTACGAATGGTCAATAATAATCAATATCTGTCTGGTACCCGCAGTTTCTCAGTGGCAATAGAAAAGTGCGAGTCAGCGTTGCAAACTGATGGGTCACTCAGTGTCCGGGACAGATTGGCAAGATGGGGTTGTTGACACGGCCATGCTTGACAAGAAATGCTGAGATCAACTCGGGTTTCCCAACAGACTAATGTAAACAGGCAAACAACTTAAACAAGGTTCTGAGGGGGAAGAAATACCTAGGTCAGGAAAAAGGTAGGTTGCCAAGAGACGAAAGCGGTTGTAAGGGAACAGCCATCGGTGACCGAAGTTCAGCGAGACGGGAAGCTTCTTCGGTGTCTTGAACTAGGTATTGACAAGTCGACTCTGACTTGCCTCGGACGCAAAAGGTTTGGCCGGTTGCCTTTCCGGGGAAACTGAAATGTGTATCCCCGTTAGCAGAACCTTAATCTTTAATTCAGATAACGTGCCAGCGTGTCTATTGTGACAGGGACAAAAGAGGCGTTTGGAAAGGTAACTGTAGATCTAGTGACATGAGCTCATCTTACTTGAGTTGCTATCCAAGTATCCCTACGAATACCTACTACATCATAGGGAATCCTTCGTCATGTAGGATCAGTTGCCGCTAGCCGACATGCTCACCAAGAGACAGCGGGAAGCACTTTGGCAGGCCGGGTTTTGGCGAGGTAAGGCGGTTGAATAAACAAGTGGATTCCGTACCTTATACTCGTGACAATCGGCGGTACACCATGTTGGAAAAGGAAACATACACCTAGACTACGGTGGGTACCTGATGCCTTGAATAGCCATCGACGAGCTCACTACCGGTATGAGTGTCTTGGTAGGTACGTGGGAGCACCCTGTCGAGTGTCTGGCGCTGTGTCTGAGTGTGGCAGAGACAATCATGGAAAGAGCCTGGAGCCCCTTGAGATGTTCTGGACAAGAAGAAAAAGACCGGCGGAGAGAAGCACACTGATGTGGGGCCCATTGCACATTCCATTCCGGGCGCGGTACGTTCCCGGTTCGCACCTGACCTAAGACACCCTAGGTACTCCGTAGTCTCTGACTCTCTGTCCACTCGGAGTGGTGGATCCGCTTTAGCCAGTCAACGACGGGAAAGTCAAGACACCACGAGCTCTCTCCGAATTCCTCAAATCTTACTGCTCTTTCTCTCCAGTCAACGTCAATGGCAATTGCTGTTTGATTGGCACCTGCAAAATGCGGATAGCCTTTGCAAGGGCAGTATTGCTTATCTGCCAATTTCTGTCGTGGGCCTCCTTGCCGGCATAATGCTCTCTGCAGGCGCGGATGAGATTTACAGGGGACGGGGCCCACGGTCCACGGTCCACGGCGAAGAAAGTGACAGACGCTAAGCCCAATTCGCCCCCTGCCATAGTAATCCCGTCACTCTCGTACCAGAGGCTTTTCGGCCCAGGTCGTCTGTTTTCGGTCCCCACATGCCCTGTTGAATGTTCGCTTGGCAGAGAATGAGAGACCGCTTGGCCCGCAGCGCTTGAGCCGACTGGCACGACGCTAGTCTCGTTTCGGATCTAGCGCCAAGCTCTCGCGCCGGCAGCCAAACTGAGATCTACAAACGTCCCTGCTTCCACTCATTCTTCACTTTTGACTCTTTCGCTCCATTGACTGCAAGCCGGAACAAGTCCTTTTCTCATCATTGAGAAGCGTGGAAGGCTAGTCGAGGGGCTGACAGGCTGGACCTAGGTGGGAGAAAACACCACACAGCTAGACAGCGACCATACTGCCAAAACTGGCACCTCAAGTGACTGGGCGCGGCGGCATTTGAGGCGGGAACCCCACTGTTTGCCAAACGTCTGAAACCCTGCTCTGCGACAGCATCTCTCCCAGTAGTACCAGTTTACTCCGAAGACTCTACTTGGTCTCGTCAGTCCATCCGAAGAACTTGAAGGATCGTTTGGTGTTGCTGACAGGATCGGCATTCGTTCACGACTTGATACAGAATCGCCCTGTTTCCCCCAGTTCATCACCAGGAGCAACTTGATGAAAGCGAGCTCGGAGATCCCCGTGGTCACCTTCTCGCATTCTGGGAGGGCTGGTCGGTGGATGGCCGAGCCCTAAAGAGGTGATAATCTAGTTCTGGTACTCTGCCGATATTTACAAGTCAAGAGAAACTTCAGCCATGGAAGAGTAGAACTTTGGTTTCTGTTTGCGGTGTCCCGGGTAAATAGTTTCATCACACACGATCGCTCTGGGCAGAACATGTGGCATTGTTTCTGGAATGCCTGCTGTGAATCGATGGTTGGCGCCCGTACGGATAGATGAAGAGGCAACCTGGAAGTAAAGTTTTTGGACTTCCCTTGACTGACAGTGCATAACAGAATCAGACCAGATCGCTATTACTGGTTGGTCAACAGGTCTCGACAACCTGTCTGTCGGCCGGCTCTGCAGATAAGGTGAGGACGATCCCGGTCCGCTCGTGGTACGTTACTCCTTACGGGATTTGTGCTTGGGCGTGGGCGCTGTCACGCTGTGGGTGGGTGGGAAGAATGCCAGACAAGGAAGAAACGATGAAGCACCGAATGGCAGCCGACCATGTTCTCCTCGGTCTATTCTTGTGATGTATACGCAGTAGAGCCACGAGTTTTCCCCGCAGTAGCATTGTGTCTACTTACTATGTGTGATGGAGAGAATACCTAGAGGCAAATGTTTGGGGACGGCTTGGTGAGTAATCATAGCATCTACGGATAGATGGATCTACGAATGGAACGAAAGGATACCTTGCTTTGCGTATTGTGCCACTACTATCCAATGTATGATGGACCTTAGGTGAGGAAGAATATAGGCAGTGGTAGGTATTACCTACTCCGTACGGATACTGAGGTGCGGAAAGGCGGATAGGGTAGGTATGGAGTAGGTTGGCTGGTATGAGTTAACGACCTTCCCTGCCGGTGATAAACGACCGAGTCTGTTTGGGTGGATCTGTGCAGTGGGCAGTGAGCGGGGCGGATTTGGTGGATTTGGACTTATTTAGCGTTTGTTCACTCCAGACGCCAATGCTGCACCTCCCCACCCGTCTCACACACAAACGAACTCCTGCACCTGCACCTTCAGGGAGGCGCCGGCCGAGGGCTGTCCGCAGTCCCACATTGGTGCTGCTCCTGTCTCCTCCACCCTCGATTCTGTCTCTGCCCGTTATTACTAAGGAAAGGCAAGTAGACTTTGCAGTCTACTAGGTAGGGCTGTACTTGCGGATTCCGCCTAGCACTCTCCGTACATGTACATACGGGCAATTGTTCTTGAAGAACAGGGAGATCGCCGAGGAAAGGTCAGACACGCAGACTACGTGACTACCTACACTACACTACAGATAGATACCACGACATCTTGTTGATAGTCAATGAGAGCAAGATACCCATCGTCCGCCCGCCAGTCTTTTGTCTTTCCAACGAGACTGCGACATTGCCCAGCCTGTCTTCCCATCATCGCTGTCTGCAGCCTGCTGACGCCAGGCCAGAATACAGGTACACGGCCACACGCTCCTCGTCTTAGTCGTGTCGGAAGAGTGTACTTGATCCAGCTGCTGCGACATACAGACAACGGCTGTACCACTACTCCCTAGACCTTAGCAATGGATTGTCTGTATTCGGGCGTCTTTGTGATGGATTCGCCCGGCCCCCCGGCTCAGTGCTCCCAAAGACGGCACGGTTTCCCCTTCTTGTCCCTCCATGTCACTCACCCAGCACGCACCTTCTCTGCCCGGTGCCCACGCCTCCCACGCAGTATGTACATACTACGTAGTACATCTGGGTCATAGCCTGTTCTCCTTCTTCCTCTCGAGTCTTTCTCTCTTCCTTCCCCCCCGGGCTGGCCTGGACAACATTTGGGTAACACTTCCAATACAGACTGATCACGCCGTGATGTGCCTGAAGGCCAGGTACCCATAAGTACCACTTCCTCTCCACCGTCAAGGGAGCCCCGGTCGTTTCTTGGTTCCAGCAGGAAAGTCTCCAACGGGTTGGCTTCTCTCGCTTCTGAATACGGCCCCTGGGTATCCTGCCTCCGCAGCCGGTAGAGAAGGGAAAAAAGAGGAACCCCTGGCCTCCCACCAATCAACGTCCCGGACGCTTCGTGTCGGACCCCAAACCCAAACTGTTCCTGAATCGTCCAACCTTGTCTGGTATTACCCTCCCGCACCCGCACTCTCCTGCTCACTCCCTCTTTCGCCCTGTCCTACGCCTATTCCTCTCTTTCTCCTCCACGACCCAACTACCCACGCCCTGCCTCTCTTTCTTGCACACTACTGATTCCACACCTGTCCACCACTCACCACCAAAATCCCGACAACCTCGTAATCACAATTCTGTCGACTCACTCGATCGATTCTTTTCGACTATCTTGGGCGACGACTGGTTCGGAGCGCGGCACAATCGGCAGAGGGTTAACGACGCAGGCAACCGCGGGTTGAGGCCGGGACTGGATCTGGATTTGGGCCTACGGGGTCAGCGGCGGACGCCCATGTTGTGAACTTGGTGCCACCACACTCTCAACAGGCCGCAGCTCCTCGTCGACATCGAAACCCGACCATCGAATCACCATCACCATGGATCCATTCCACGACAAGGCAGGCAACGAGCGGAGGGCTTCCCTCAGGATGTCAGCGAGGGCTTCTTTGACCGCCGACGATGATGACTACGACCTAGCCGCAATGGGCATCTCGGACGGCTTTCGCCCAGCCAACGTCTCTGCTTCCCATCAACCCATCAACTCGATAACCAACCCTTCGACTGGCTCGGCGGTTGTGTCACGAGAATCTCCCGTGCCTCAGCGCGTCACACCACCCCGACCTTCCAGCATTTCAAAACCTCCTCGTTCCCACGATCCGCTAGCCCTCCGTCACGATGGCTCGACGTCTCAATCCCAATCCAACGGCGCCCCAATGTCTCGTGTCTCCAGTGCCTCGAGCGATTCGCCAATAATCAGGTCCGAGAGCCCCTACGAGGGACCATCTGGACCGTCCTTCCCGTACCAAATGTACCCGCAACGTACCAACAGTGTCGCGACGTCAAACACCGCTCGCATGTCTGAAAGATCATACGCCGGGCCTCGCGGACCGACACACCCATATACACTCTACACGCAAAACACCGTAACCCCCGACACGAACGATGGTGACAGCATCCCCGTGGGATTTGCTGGTCGCCCCGATGGATATCACCGCCGCATTGGGCCGGATGGAGAGGAAGCTGCTGACCTGATCGGACCATTGGGCCATACCGAAGAGCTTCCGCCCTACACTCGGTATCCCGAGCAGGCCTATACAAGGAAACAGCCTGGTGAACAACCACAATCATCGACGCCTCCGGTCCAATCTCAACAAGAGCAACAACGGCAGCCAGAGCAGCAACAACCTCCGGCACAACAAACTGCCGTCACTGTCATGACTGCAACGGTACCCGCCATTCCTGCTGGCGCTGGCGGCATCGGACTTGCGACACGCAACCCCGAGTTTGAGTCACGAGAGGATTTACGTCTTTCATCGCCATCCCGGACATCTTCTCGGACGCTGAATGATGAGACTGCTAGCCAACACGAGATCAACACTGCTGCCGAGTCCTACGCCGAGAAGGGCGAAAACGCGTCCGACCGCAAATGGCAGAAGAGGGCAAAGAAGAGGTTGTTTGGTGTCGTTCCTTACTGGGCTATCTGCTTGTTGGCAGTTGGACTGGTGATGATGTGAGTTGATATAAAATTCTTCCCTTCTCTATTTGATGTCACTAACCATATCTAGGGGTATTATTCTCGGTGCTGTCATCGGAACATTCTTCGCCAAGCATAAAAAGCCGCCCGGCAAGCATCAGGACGATGAGCCTATACCAGTGGTCATCCCAACAGCCACGGTTGATGTGAAGCCCCTTGCTACTCTTCCACCGGATCTTCCACCAATGGAGATTGGTACCTTCGGTCTGCCGCCTCTCATTGCAAGCCAGGCACCAAGTACTTGTTTCAACGACACAACGCAAGCCCAAGCCTGGACCTGCAACATTCCTTTTACCAGCTACGTCATGGGCGTCTCTAGAATCGCCAATGAACTACCTATATCTGATTACACCTTAAAACTTACTACTTTCAATGACAGCGATCACGACGATAACTCTAGGATCAACATGTTCTCGTGGGGTACTCAACCACCACTGATCATGGATCCTCTAAAGATGCGTCTTGTCAATGACACCTCAGAACAAGGCCGCGGCGCCGCATGGTTCGCCCAGATGACATACAACAAGACCGTGGTCGTACCTGAGGATAGGTTCCCTGGCGTCGTCTCAACCCCCAAGAAGCAACAGCCACAGTCCAAACGAGGCGGATCATGGGATGGACCACCGCCTGGTATGTCTGAATTCAGTAGGAAAGGGGTCAAAGGAGCACAGGCCGGCGATCGGCCTTGGATCTGTACTTGGCCCGGAACCCTTCTCGAAGTCTTCGTCTACCCTGCCCAGAACAACAGCTATCAAAGAAAGCCTTCTACTACGACGTCCAGGCCTCCGGCGGCAGCAACATTCCCTCCTTCAACATCGACGCAGTTCTTGGTCCGCGGATTGCAAACCCAGTCTCCCCAATCAAGTCCAATCCCGACTGATAGGCCACGCCGTGCCCCACCACCACCTTACCCTCAGGTCATCAAATTTGAAGAGCGACGTGTTTCGCTCGACCAAACGAAGAATGCCTACTGCCGACAAGTCGAAGTCTGCGATGACGGCCAGAACACCGTGCCCGTACTAGACGATCAGGGCCAGCCAATTGAGGTCATGATCATGGAAAACCGGCAAACGGTAGCAATTGCAGACTCGAGCAAACGTTGGATACACGAAGACAGCCTCTTGGTATCACCTCGAGACCGGCCATCAAGGACAAGTCAACTTAGCGACTGTGGATGTATATGGTGGTTCACATAACACCCATTTTGACCATGACGGACAAAGTCACTACCACAACCATGATTTACTGTACGGATTAATGTACCACACACCATTTTTGCGTCAACAGTCTGTGTTCGTTAATGCGGCTGTTGACTTCTTTTGTTTGGGGGCGTCAATTGAGATATGGATGAGCATCTATGGGCGTCATTCAGTAGGCGCAATTAGGCAGGCGATTGTATACATATTTGGCAAATACCTATGGATGGGCAAAGATGCCCCCAAAAAGCCACTTGTAGGACGGCTGAAAGGTTTACTTATATAGCCTGCCGATTCCTCTCAGAGTAGGCCACACACTTACCTAAAGAGATTTATTCATGTTGCAAGTCTTCCTATCTTAGTCGTAGTGTTATGTGTAGAGCGGTAGGCATAGAGGAATTCAAAGTCACACGTGAAAGAAACCACATTGTATGGCAAAACGGCCTTGCTCTCGTAATGCAAATGTGCTGCCTACTGGGTATCATTTTCAAATCACCGCCTTCCTCAACCGTCACTCTTCCTTCATGTCGGCGGCCAGCCCGTCCAAAAAGTTCTCAGCCATCTTCTTGGCTCTCCTGGCCTCGACCTCTTTCCGCCGCTGCTCAATCTCCTTGCGCCTCGCCTCCTTCTTCTCCTCCCTCTCCTTCCTCGCCGCCTCCGTCCGCACTCTTTCTTCTTCGAGCCCCTGAAACTCCTTTTGCCTCGTCTCCTCGTCCTTGCTAAACTTGTAAAAGCCCGTGCCCTTTGTGCGGATCTCGCTGTCGGCGTCGTAGTGCCTGGCCTCGGGCGGCGTGGCGCTGCGGTCCCGCTTCTTGGCCAGCTCGGCCATCTTTTCGGGGTCCTCCGGGTTGAAGGCCATGGTCTGGATGGCGTCGCCGTACAGCAGCTTGGCCGGGGCCGCGGGGCGGGCCGACATGCGTTCGAGCTCTTCGGCGCCGAGGAGGCCGCGCCGGCGCTGGCGCTCGAGGCGTTCCTTGTCTGCTTTTGTGCCGCGGCGGAGACGGCCGAATTCGTCTTCGTATTCTATGATTGTGTTGTCCTCGTCGTTGCCGTCGCCGTCGGACTCGTTATCGTCGGAGCCGCTTGAGCTCGCATCCTCCCGGCGGCCGTTCTTCTTGTCCTCGGATTCGGCCCATTTTCGGTCAAAGTCGATGAGGGGCGCCGCCTCGTTCTCCTTGGGGACGTAGTCGCCCCGCTTCATGGCTGCGTAGAGGCGTGCCTTCTCTTCCATCTTGCGCCGTGCGCTGGCGAGGTTTGACGTTTCTTCTTCCGTGCCGAGCGGGTCTTTTAGGTTCAACTTGTTGCTGCTGCTAGCTGCGTCTGCGGATTTCTTTTTCTGCCTGTCGTCATCTCTTCCTTTCCCGCCAAAGAGGCTGGATCGTGCCTTGGAGGGTCGAGGCCGTGCTGGTGCGGAGGATGTTGAGGAGGGCGTGGCCGACATGAGGGAGGTGAGTTGGGCTGTGAAGTCGAGCGAGCTGCCGAGGGCCGTGTCGTTTTTGCGCTTCTTGGGCGGCGGTTGACCGTAGAGGTTTGGATCTTGCGGGGTCTTGGAGTGCTGCATCTTGGTGTGCTCCGAGAGTATCACTCGGGTTGATCAGAAATCCAAAGGAATGCTTGCTGTGTTTGACGTCGCTGTGTACAATGGTGGCGTTCGTCGAGGAGGTGGTGTAGGTGGGAGGATCTTGCCTGGACGCATGCGTGCGCAGTGAGCGCTGTGGAAATCCCACCCCAAAGTCCCTTATCGTTATCGGAATAGCAGGGACGTCGGGCAGGCGACACCAAGGTGCTACCTCAAAGCAAGAAACAGAATTTAAACCGCCACAGGTACCCTAGAACAGAGCTCCAGGTACCCTAGAAATGATGTCTTCAAATAATTTGAAACCTTCCACTACTCGTATTCCTTGGAAACATTGCTATTTCCCGTAAGTTCTGTTTACGGAAGTTGGAATCTTATGGCACCCCGAAATTCCATGCAAGAGTAAGGTAGCTTTCCGTATTAGCACCTACTCGTGTCTGCTGCCCCTGTGGCTTCATAGTAAATATTTATGACATCCCATTCATGAGGGAACCTCAACAAACGAGACGAGAAGCGAGCCTCCCCTTCAATCATGAGAACCGCCCAGATACGATTGGGAGCCCGATAAAGTAAACACATTGGAAAGAAGAAAGACAAAACGCTGGATCAGGAGAGAAACGCTTTTCGCAGCTCATTACGCAACCGTGACCTATACGCCCATTGAGCTACTGCTCTAGTCTCTCGCAAAAACCTTGCGTTCAAAGCACAGCCCCTTGATCATAACCTCGCATTCGCTCTACCCAGAAAATGAGCTGTGCCCGGTCCCGGACTCGCTCGGATGCTGTATACGTTTCCGCGCTGAATCTGTCACTGTCGAAGGGACGGCCGTCGTTCCACCCGAGGCTTCCAGTGGTGGCGGCGGTTGTGCCTTTTGCGGTTGCGACAGGTGCCTCGGCTCGCGTGAAGACGTCTGATTTTGGTTTTGGTTCCATGGGCGGCTCCAACATATTCTATAGGTGTAGATAGCGATGTCTACACCGATCAGGAGGAGGATAGGGCCAAAGAAGCAGAATCCCAGTGCGATCTATTGAAGGAGTGTTAGCGACGCGGCGGCTGGGATGAATTTTACTGGGCTTACAAAGGCGCCTGAAATGTATCTAACAATGGTAGGATAGTCGGAGTGTAGTAATGAGTAGGTCATCATGGTGTCGTACCACGAGACGGTTTGCGCGTGAGTATTCATCAGGGGATTGCGGGAGCAACGGCGAGGGCCGTTGGCTATTTAGATTGAAGAAAGATGACGATGATGGGAGAATGACGGGAGGGAGTAATGCGGCGGGGTGTTCTTGAATCGCAATGGCCGGTTGGTGCAGTCGCGCGTGTAACGGCAGAAATCTAAGGTAGTCTGACGGCAGGTAGCGAAAGGGATGTTGAGAGTGGTATGACGAGACGTGATTGAGCAATCAGGTAGAGGGTCGTTGCTGGGGATGTTGGACCCTTTGCGCCGAGGGATGCAATTGGGGGGATCTCTATGTTAATAAATATTCCCCTCGGCCATGTTCTTGGGCGGGCCAGTCGTGAGACAGTCAGGTGTTGGGTGCCGAGGTGGATAATCAGGCAAAGGGAGGCATTGATATAGATGCTTATGAGGATGCGCGGAGAGAGCATGGGATGGCCGACCGACGCCTCCGTCACGTTTTAGTGTTTAGTCCAGATCAAGCGGCCACGGTGCAACGACTTTCTCACTCTGTAAGTGACAAGGCATTTTGGTAATCTTCCGAGAGCGCCCCCCTCTTTCCATTCGATGGAAGCTGGGGCTTTGTTGTATGTCTTCCCATGCCTTAAGGCCAAGGTAGTTTAGTCACCCCGCTCCCTTCTGAGCCTTTTCTGTTCTCTCACAAATCCATCACTGATATATCCTACACCTGTATCTAGGAAACCCTCCCGTCGTGTTCTGGATGGCAAAAGGGGCGCCCTCGGCCCCTCTTCAGCGTTGGAAAACATACCTTAACTTGTAAGGTACACTGGCGGGTGGCTGATCACCCGGAACGAGTGACGCAGCTAGGAACCCGCAGCGGGCACGGGTGCGTCGGGCGGGCCTTCAGCTCTTATCGCTTATCACTCAGGTACCGATACCCTGAGGTTCACGGGGGAGGTCAAGTGTCGATTTTCACCGCCTGCCCAATCGGCAGCTTTCATCGTCCCCCGCCATGCATCACCGCCCGCTCCCATCGCAACTTTTTGATTTTCAGGCGGCCAAATATTCACTTTGAGCGCATACCAGACGACTCCCCACCCAAGCCGTCTCTCTGCCCGAAGACAGCTTGAACGTGTCTAATCATTCTCTACGGCTCTTTTCATAGGTAATTGATCGGATTCGACCAGCGACTGGCCATGAGTAGACCGGAAAAGAAAAACAAAACCACAAAGAGGGAGGAGTATCGCAATGCGCGCAACCAAGATGGCGTGGCTGAACTGCCCAAAAAGAAGTTCTACCGCCAACGCGCCCATGCAAACCCTTTCTCGGACCATCAATTAGTCTAGTTGAGTCTCAATGGTCATACCGCCCTCTGATCTCTACTCTCTCGCTAACTGTCACCGTCCCAAATAAAGCCCGGCCAGTCCAGACTCCATGAACTGGACGCAGTACTATCCCGCCTTCGCAGCCAACGATGAGACTCCCTCCACCGATCCTACAGTCACGGAATCCATGACCCTGGATGCCTCGAAGCCGAAAACGCGCAGTCTAACGAAGGATGTGGAGGTTGTTGACATTGGCTGCGGCTTCGGAGGCTTGACCGTAGCTCTGTCACCGATCCTCCCAGAGACCCTCATTCTCGGTAGGTGGACTCTCTAAGCTCGCAACCGGTGAGTGTGCTGACCCTTCTTCCCTCTGCAGGCCTCGAGATCCGCACTTCGGTTACCGAATATGTCCAGGAGCGCATCAAGGCCCTCAGAGTTCAGAATCAGGAGACTGGCGGGTACCAGAACATCAGCTGCCTCCGAGCCAACAGCATGAAGTTTCTCCCCAACTTTTTCAAAAAGGCACAGCTCTCCAAGATCTTCATCTGCTTCCCCGACCCGCACTTCAAGGCACGGAAACACAAGGCCAGAATCGTATCAACGACGCTCAACTCCGAATACGCCTTTGCGCTGCGCCCAGGAGGCATCGTGTACACCATTACAGACGTCGAACCCTTGCATCAGTGGATGGTGGGCCACTTCAATGCCCATCCTGCATTCGAGCGTGTGTCCGAGGAAGAACAGGAGGCGGACGAGTGTGTCAAGGTGATGGCGTCCGAGACGGAGGAGAGCAAGAAGGTGACGCGGAATCAGGGCCAGAAGCACATTGCGCTTTTCCGCAGGCTGGAAGATCCTCCATGGTGAATGGCAAGAACTTGACCAGAGTGATGGCGGCATGGCTCTCTGGGAAGAGAGACTCCGGTGCTGAGGCTCGAAAAAGTTCAAATAATACCCCTTTCCT